CATTAGTGAGATCAGGCACTGATGTTGGTGAGGAGGTCTGGGGTGCAGTCGGTGTTCCAGTTCATCCCAAAGGTGTTCAGTGGGGTTGAGGTCAGGGCTCTGTGCAGGACACTCGAGTTCTTCCACTCCAACCTTCACACACCATGTCTTCATGGAGCTCGCTTTGTGCACAGGGGCATCGTCATGCTGGAACAGGTTTAGTTTCAGTGAAGGGAAATCTTAATGCTACAGCACACAAAGCCATTCTAGACAATTGCGTGCTTTGTGACAAGTTTGTGGCAATAGTTTGGGTGTGATAGTCAGGTGTCCACATACTTTTGGCCATATAGTCTACGCTCATGCCAGGGAAAGATGTGTATATGTATGCGAGGAGCCTCAAGTTTACTTGCAGAGCATTCCAGCATAATTACTTTCTTCCTTCATTATGAAAGAGATGAGAGAAAAGAGCCAAGGGGTGGAAGCGGAAGCTGGAGGTGGATTGAGCACTTTAATTAATTCATGTGGTCTGAGGGAACACTTTTATGATATCCACAGAAACAATATCTCAGGCTCTTAGTGAGCAGCAAAGCTTCCAATCTTTAGCATCCAATAAATGATAATACATTTCTCACCAAATACAGTATTCTTTAAATATATGGAATTTTTCCTATTATAATTTCCTTTAAACACTCTTCACTCCTCTCATTTTATGTCCAGAATTCACTACCACTACCACAACACCAGAAACATGTCTCAAAATTGTTTTGCATTGCAATTACTCAATTCATCTTTTGTTGGTAGTACACCAAATGTAACCAACAGTGTAATATACCATAGTGTATCAATTTCATTTCAAACGTAATTGCACATATTTACTGTATGTAACAGACCATGCCACATACAACCATAAAATTCAATTACAAATAAAAAGAAAGGAAAATTCTAATAGTGTAATAGAAATAAATCATATAGTTTACTGTAAAATATACAGTATCTTACAGGTGCAGTAAAAAGCTTCCATTAGCCACTGGGAAAAATTCTTTGTATCCTAGATCATTCATCTTAATAATCAAGTCAGGAATCCAGCCTTCACAAGATCATGTGAATTTTCTTCTCTAGTGAATAAGTTGGAAGTTAAGAGCCCCATTGTTGATGATCTGCATTCTTTGGCCTTTCATCCATTCTTTCCCTTCATTGTTTTGTTACCTCAATTTTTAACCTTCCCAAAAATGCTATATTGTACAGCAAGATTCAGGATCCACATTGCAGGATCTTTTGAATGACATTGTTGCACATACAGTGATGCTGTTGGCCCCATTCTGGCCCAGAACCTTTACTGTTTCTCTTTGAAATGGTTATGGGATTATTTTCTGTTTATTTGGTTTTGAAGGCTTATTAGATTTAAACAATGTATGTAGACATTGAAAACTGGCAGGTAGAAATACATGGGAATTAAACATAGTTAACATCCATCCATCCAATTTCTGTACTGCTTATCCTACACAGGGTCGCGGGGAGCCTGGAGCCTATCCCAGGGAACTCGGGGCACAAGGCAAGGGACACCCTGGTTGGGGTGCCAAAATGTTGCAGGGCACGATCACACACAATTTGGAAATGCCAATCAGCCCACAGCACATGTCAGGAAACCACCGAAGCACCAGGAGAACATGCAAACTCTGCGCACACAGGGTGGAGTCAAACCCCCAACCCCAAAGGTGTGAGGCAACAGTGCTAACCACTAAGCCACCATGCACATAGTTAACCTAAATAAACAAGTTAAACATAGTGACACAGTAAGAAACAACAAGTGTGTTAGTAAGGTTTTGGGCCACCATGAGCTGCCAGAAAAGCTTGGTATTGAGTTGAGAAGTTTCAGGAACTGTACTGGAGGATGAACACCATTCTTCCAAAAGATCCTCTCTCAGTTGGTATTGATGGTGTTTTTTCAATTCTGTTGAGATCTGGTAACTATGAGGGCCATAATATAGTATATCATTTACATCATTTTCATCATTATCAAACTATTCAGTGAGTCCTTGTGCCATGTGGATGTGGAAAATATCATCCTGGAAGAGACTATCAAGATAGAAATGTTTCATCGTAGGATAAATGTGTTAATAATTTTATATTAAATTGCAGTGACTGTCAGAAACCAGCGAATGCCTCCCACAGCATAACAAAGCAGTTTTCACTTGAACTTGTTACCTGTCTTTGTCTGAGGTTATTAAAAAAATCAAGCATTACCAATGAAATAAAGAAAAAGCATGCCATTCATGTTTTGATGTTTTTTAATCTGTTTTTCAGGTTCTGTTTCAGTATGCAAAAATGCTGAGCATGCTAGAAAGCAGTGTTTATAAATCTGAAAGTCCTTGATGTTTTAATGGTGTGGCTCACTGGGTAAGGTTCTGATCCAGTGATCATACATTTATGAGTTTAAATCCCAGGCCTTCCAGAGAACCCCTTAGGCAACTGCAAGGCGGGTGGAATGCAGCAGCTTTAAAAAAAATTCTACCACTAGCATTTCTTAGGTCACAGCAGATTGCTTCCAAAGGTAAAATAAAAAGTTAAACTTTTCAGAAAAGTGCCAAGTGACATCAAGTGCTTTTCAATCTCCCAACCAATCAGGTTGCGGCTCAGGGGGGAAGCAAGAACAAAAATAGTTGACGCACTAAGGTTAAACTTGTATGCACAGATGGTTGCACATTTGCTACGTACACTATACGGCCAAAAGTATGTGGACACCTGGCCATCACACCCATATGTGGTTCTTCCCCAAATTGTTGCCATAATGTTGGAAGTACACAATTGTATAGAATGTCTTTGTATGCTAGAAACTGGACTGAAAGAACACACACACATACATACATACACACACAACTGTGCATCCTCCATCCTCTTTGCAATTTTTTTGCACATTACATTATGCTGCTACAATATTTATTATACTGTACATAGGCTGCTACTTCTTATGTTTACACTATTTCAGCAACTTATATTGTACTCTTTGCACTATTGTCACTGGATTCACTTTCTAACAGAACTGTCTCGTGCTGTCTGCACATGTTTGCACTTTATGTATAAATTATGTAGTCCCTTGTAGTTCTGTGTTATTCTGTGTTTGTCTTATGTAGCACCTTGGTCCTGGAGAAACGTTGTTTCATTTCACTGTGTACTAACTGGCTGTATATGGGTGAAATGACAATAAACTCCACTTGACTTGACAATTTCCCTCCACTGGAACTAAGAGACTCAAACCTGTTCCAGCATGATGATGTCCCTGTGCACAAAGCGAGCTCCATGAAGACATGGTGTGTGAAGGTTGGAGTGGAAGAACTCGAGTGTCCTGCACAGAGCCCTGACCTCAACCCCACTGAACACCTTTGGGATGAACTGGAACACCGACTGCACCCCAGACCTCCTCACCAACATCAGTGTCTGATCTCACTAATGCTCTTGTAGCTGAATGAACACAAA